CAATCTCCATCCAGTGAGGCTTTCCTCTGCTCCTCACCTGTCCATTCAACACTAAGGTCCACTCCTCCTCAACCTCCATCCAAAGCTGCTGTCCTCCACTCTCCACAACCCATCCCATGCTACTTTTCATCACTCCACCTCCCATTCACCCTGATCACAGCTTTCTGTATAATGCAAATATAAAATAATGTGGTAAAGCCATGTCTTTCAAACTAGGCTTTACTGTATAAAGGCATTATTTCACTATGCACTAGATACCACCACCCTGAACCGTTGATACAAGGCAGGATGGATCCATGCTTTCATGTTGTTTACACCAAATTCTGACCCTACCATCTGAATGTCACAACAACCAGTCTGCCCATTCTCCTCTGACCTCTGACATCAACAGGGAATTTATGTCCACACAAGTGCCGCTCACAGGATATTTTCTATTTTTTGGACCATTCTCTGTAAACCCTAGAGATGGTTGTGTGTGAAAATCCCAGTAGACCAGCAGTTTTTAAAAAACTCAGAACAGCCCATCTAGCACCAACAACCATGCCACTTAAATCCCCTTTCCTCGCAATTCTGATGCTCGGTGTGAACTGCAGCAAGTCATCCTCACCACGTCTAGATGCTGAAATACACTGAATCTCTGCCATATGAGTGACTGATTAGCAATTTGTGTTAACAAGCAATTGAACAGGCGTACCTAAAAAAGTGGCTGGTGAGGGTGTGTGTGTATATATATATATATATATATATATATATATATATATATATATAAAAATAATTTATTTTATTTATTTATTTATTCATTTATTTTGAATACCTTGAGTATTAGAGAGAGCACAGCAGCAGTTACAGTATATCCTTTCAAACATGCTGGCTTTTTTATAATTGAAAGGAAACCTTAGACAAAAGACAATCTTAATCCAACCATCATAAAAAAAGAAAAAAAAAGAGAATAAAATAACCACAATACTTCCTTTAAAATTGACCATGATACAATCCCATTGTGCAGTTTTTTTTTGCTTTACCAACAACTGTCTAGAGTAAGAATGAATCTACCTAACAAGATATAAACTGAATGGCCTATTTGGGTACATTTTATACATACTTGTTGGAAAATGTGTACAGAAGCTGAATAATGTGTATAATCGGATTGTAGTGTGTATGGTCAGCTTGTCTCAGTCTTGGGTTTTATTAGAAAATGAGGATACAGTTGCCTCTCAGGATTTAGCTACTTAGCTACCGTCCTTTAAACACATGCCTGGAAACACCTTAGTTGGTTCCTGCTGGCTGTACGCATATATGTGGTGGCTGGGCAGGTGGGCTTTGACACCAAGCCACTGCAGATATGCCTTTATGGGGAACGGCTGTCATTTCTTATTGTTTATGATTGGAAGCTTACCATCATGTGACCACTGTGGCAGGAAATCACAGCAGTCACATAAGCAGGAAAGCCTGCCTCTGCCTCCCAGCATTCTGATCCTCTTAAAGGGCCAGGGTTGGCAAAGGATTAAAAGCTCTGGGAGCATGCACTGTCAAACCAATACCTGGCCACATAACACAATACAGCAGGGAGAGCTTCATAACTGAAAGAGAGCGCATGTGAGCAAGTGCCTTTGACAGATCACATGATCAGGCTATCCTTCTGGCTTTTATTTTTACTGCACAGTGCACCTTTGTACAGCACATCTCTGTGCTTTATAAATGTGTGGAGTCTGTATGACCATACTGCTGATTTTTAAATAAACATCTTACAGTTATTTTCTTTATAGAACAGCCACAGTCTGAATAGAAAAGCATGTCCCCTGCCAGCATGCAAGAACCCTCCCTCTCTGTGAAGAAGAAGCAGTGGTCTCTCTGCAGAGGTCCAACACATTCCCTGCTGAGTCACACAAAGGTAAAGCTCTCAAATAAGCATGAGATTTTCTGATTGCAGAGCCACAGTTCTGACTTAGTAGGGAATCTGTTGTGCTTTACCGAGAAATCACTGCTTCCACATAGAGAGCAAGGGTCCTTCACTATAGCATACAGGCGTACCTCAGTTTACGAATTTAATTCGTTCTGCGGGACTTTTCGTATTGCAAAAAATTCATAAACCAAACCGCGGTTTCCCATAGGAATGCACTGAAAACCAATTAATCCAATCCAAAGGTCAAAAAAAGTAAAAAAAAGTCTTTTATCTGTTCAAAACTCTTGAACAGTTAACTCTTGAATAAAGTGCACTTTTACCGCTTCCAGTCCGGGCACTTTCACCCCCTTCCTTTCCAGGCCAATTTTCAGCTGTCAGTGCTATCGCACTTTGAATGAAAATTGCGCAGTCATGCAACACTGTACCCATATGAATTTTTTAGCATTTATTTGAGACAGATAAAATTTATTTGGTGGCATTTACTCACCACTGGGATTTTGTTTTTTGCTATATAAATGAAAAAGTCCAAACATTTTGAAAAAAAAAGTGTTTTTCTTATAAAAGTTTGCAAATACTGTAAATAATCTTTCTTCATAAATTTTGGCCAAAAAGTATTCAGCTATCTTTTTAGTAAAAAAAAAAACAACCCAAATTAGTTTCTAACCAAAAAATATATATTTTATTTTTATATTATTATTTTTTTTCACATACTGTCGCCCTAGCAGTACAGTGTCACCATAGTGACATTGTACTACTTGTGAGGGGTGATGAAGATTTTTTTTTTGTTTTTACACTAATTGCTTTTATACCCATAAAGGCTGTAAAAGCAATCATTTATCCTCTCTAGCTGCATTCTTGCAGCCATTGAGAACTGCTGAGTGAGCTGTGATTAGTCACAGCTTGTCACATGGTACAAGGCTGTTGTGAATAGCCTTGTACCATGTGACCTCTGTGATCATTCACAGATTTCACTACTAGTAAGCAATGATGTCAGAAGTGACATCTTGCTTACTACCATTCATGTGATCACTGATTGGCCAATCAGTGATCACATGATCGGGACCTCACACATACTGCAATCGGTGTTCTGAATCACCGAATTGCGGTGCCGCGCACTCCCAGGGAAAGCGCACAGGCAGGGAAGCAGGAGGATGTTTATAAACGGCCACCAGCCCCTGCACTGCTCTCATCTGGCCATTTATATACATGAGCCATTCAGGAAGTGGTTAAAGGCATAGTACTGTACAGGAACATGATTAACCAATTCAATAGCGGGCAATTTTACACCTTCCTGCCCAGGCCATTTTCCAGGTTTCAGCGCTCACACACTTTGAATAACAATTGCGCGGTCATACAACATTGTACCCAAACTAAAATTTTATCATTTTCTTCACACAACTAGAGCTTTCTTTTGGTGGTATTTAATCACCGCTGAGGATTTTATTTTTTGCTAAATTATCAAAAAAAGACCGAAAATTTTGAAAAAACCCACATTTTTCTTTGTTTCTGTTATAAAAGTTTGCAAATAAATAATTGTTCTTCATAAATTTAGGCCGAGATGTATTCTGCTACATGTCTTTGGTGAAAATAACCCAAATTAGGATGTATTATTTAGTTTGTAGGAAAGTTATAGAGTTCACAAACTATGGGATAGATCTGAATATTGATCAATCCTGAAGTACTGACAGCCAATCTAATTTCTTGAGGTCCAAGAATGTCAGAACAGTACAGATATCCCCCAAATGACCCCTTTTAGCAGAGTAGACAGTCCAACGTACTTCATAACAGGCATGGCAAGTTTTTTGAAGTTGTATTTTTTTTGTCATAATTTTTTGGAAAATGCAAAAAATTATTTTCACTATTTTTTTTTACATACTGTCACCAGTGCAGTACAGCGTCTTCATATAACTGGCATGGCGGTGATCAGGGACACTGACTGGTGACAGTATGAAAAAAAAATATATATTTTTTTTTTATTTTCTTTACATTTTTTTATTATTTTTAATTTTTTAGTACTTTTTTTTTTTCTTTTTTTTAAGAATTTTTTTTCATATTTCACTATGTCCAAAGTAGTACAATGTTACCATAGTAACATTGTAACTACTTTGGGGAAGTGATCAGTATTTTTTTTTTTTTTTACACAATTTGTTTATAGCAAAGAATTACTTTGCTATAAGCAAGCATTTACCTGAATGAAATCGATTCATTCAGGAGTTTTTTTTTTTTTGTGCTTAGCTGTGATTTGGCCACAGCTAATCACATGACATGTGCATGTGATTAGCTGTGACCATTCACAGCTAGGCAGTAGTATACAATGGATGGCATGAATGAAGCCATCCATTGTATACAACTGTCATGTGACCTGCTGTGATTGGTCACAGCAGGTCACATGGTACCGGCAACGGGGGTCGATACTCAGATCTGTCATCGGCTGTGTCCGAGGTACACGGCCGGTGACAGATCGCGCCTCTGCGCGGCTCTGCAAGCGCAAAAAGTGCGCATGTGCGGGAGGACATACATTTTTCCGGCTGCCTTTTGGCTATTGCCCGGGCGTGTATTGGTTAAACAACAATTTGGAAATGCACTAAAAACCAATTAATCAGTTCGTATTGAAAAAAAAATTTGTAAACCGAGGCATTATTTTCAATGGATTTTCATTCGTAAACTGAAAATTACATTAACCGAGGCGTTTGTAAACCGAGGTGTGCCTGTACTGCCAAGGGACAGGCTTTTTTACTCAGGCTGTGGCTGTTTTCTGAAGAACACAAACTGTAAGTCTTTGCACACCTTTTGTTTCCAGGCGCCTCGAATATATTTAGCTGATTTAAAGGAAAAGTTTATTAGATCTTTATAACATTCTTTCTTTCATTGACACCTCAGACAGAGGAAGAAAGAGGGTCATAAGTCACTTCTCTGACTCATTTTCTACTACAACATACAACAATAGAAATTGTCATTTATTGGAGAACACAATGTCTTCATCCACGAAGTATACATGTATTTCTGTGCCAGGAAATTATATATTGTTGCAATTCAGCAGGAAAAAAAAGAATTCTCTTAAAAGAATCTAAAGCTTTTGTTAATAAATCTTGTGTACCTGCCAAGGAAATGCAGAGACATGCTGAAATTCTGCTCAGTGTTGGTTTCTGTAGGCCCAGCAATTGTGATATTACGTATAGCATCTGAAAAAGAAATACAAAGAATCTCTGTAAGCAGTTTTAATATAGAAAACCTCAAGTATTTAAGGATGATTGTGCTACAGGATATTTCCTCAACAGTAGTAGTAAATTCTCAGCAATTTTAGTTAACACACTGAACACAATAAAATAAACATTCCGCAATAAAGTATTTGTTAAAATTCTTACCCCAGCACTTGCAGTTTACAACTTTTAATGCTGCTGTTCCTGCTCCCTTAGTGCCACTTCCCTAAACTTCCAATCCTTATAGGAAAACATTAACAATAGACAGTGCATCCTCCAATCAATATGTTAACGTGGAAAAGTGAGGGGGAAGGAGGAGAGAGGAGTAAGGGAGTGCCTTGCCAGCCTAGGTTATGGGTCTGCGCAGGGGCGGACTGACAACTCATGGGGTCCCCCGGGTAATAGGGGTTCATGGGGCCCCTGTGTCCTCGCCCACACTCAAACCACACCCAAAAAAGCCTATTAAAGGTACCAGGAGCATCTCATGAGGCCCCCTACTGACCCCGGGCCCTCAGGCAGTGCCCGAGTTCTCAAATGGTCAGTCCACCCCTGGGTCTGCGTGTTTCTATTGATGCACAAAGTGTAGGGAGAGACAACTCCAGTCCCTGCATATAAGGCAGACCCCACAGGTTGTTGCAAGAGAAAGGAGCCATCTTGAAACAGGAAGCCTGGGGCAGAGGTCATGGCACCAGCTTAAACAGGAACACAGGCAAGGATTAAAAGATAAAGACTCTATATATTCAGCATTTAAATAAAACAACTGCTGAAAGCACTTACAAAACGAAGGGTTTAATAAGACTTTAAATAAGCTGCCGATATGAGATATACTGTATACTGTATGCAAACCAGGAACTCTCTGCCAGGATTAAACTACAGGGAATTCTAAATAGGTTTTTATGATAAATGATTAATGATTTTATATAGCCAAGCCTGTATATAAATAGTAGTCCACCTCCCCCAATAGAGCAGCTGTTATCGTACATTGGGGGAATGTTCTGTCTACTGGGAAACCTTAGTGGAGCATTAAAGGGAATGTACAGTCATTTTGTATATATCTTCTTTATTTTTTAAAAGCAGAACTAAAAAAATTATTCATTTCTTTTTTTTTTTCATATCTGCAATGTTATCTAGAAGAGTATGCTTTTTTTGTACTTGCCTGGCATTACATTTATAGTAAATGAATTATAATAACAGATTTTGTTTTATATTTAGGCTACGCTGATCAACTTGTTGATTCATATCTAAAATACAGAATCTTAAGATAAAACTAAATCCTTTAGAGAACAAATTGTTGAAAGGTAGGCTTTCTATTACAGAATAGGTATCCTGCACCTCTTCTGCATTCCCTGCCAGCAATCTTTGTAATACTGTACACCAGGAGTCTCCAAACTTTTAAATAAAAGGCCAGTTTACTGTCCTTCAGGCTTTGGAAGGGGAGGAGACTATGGCCAGTAGGAGTGGAAAATGCCCTGGCACCAGTGGGAGTAAACAATGACCTAATATTGGTTTTAGTGGGAGGAAGAGTGCTGCATTAATGGTGTCAGTGGAGGAATAGTGCCCCATCGATGGTGTCAGTGAGAGAAATAGTGTCCCATTGATGGTGTCAGTGAGAAGAATAGTGTCCCATTGATGGTGTCAGTGGAGGAATAGTGTCCCATCGATGGTGTCAGTAGAGGAATAGTGCCCCATCGATGGTGTCAGTGGAGGAATAGTGCCCCAACCAATGGTGTATTTAGGTTTTGTGCCGCCCTAGGCAACACAAAGATCGTCTGCCCCACGATCATGAACCAAACCACCACCCCTTCCCCCTCCCACGGAGAGAGCCTGACATTGACCAACAACATCATCAAGCAGCCCACAGCTTCTCTCGGATCCAGCCTGGTTCCTATGGCGCGCGTGTCCCTTCTCCCATCCCTTCTTCTGGGGGGAGGTGCTGCCCCCGAAAAAATGCCGCCCTAGGCAAGTGCCTTGTTTGCCTTGTGGTAAATATGCCCCTGGCCCCAACGATGGTATCAGTGAGAAGACCAGTGTCCCATCAATGGTGTCAGTGAGAAGAACAGTGTCCCATCGATGGTGTCAGTGAGAGGAATAGTGCTCCATTGATGGTGTCAGTGGAGGAATAGTGTCCCATTGATGGTGTCAGTGAGAAGAATAGTGTCCCATTGATGGTGTCAGTGGAGGAATAGTGTCCCATTGATGGTGTCAGTGAGAGGAATAGTGTCCCATTGATGGTGTCAGTGGAGGAATAGTGCCCCAACCAGTGGTGTATTTAGGTTTTGTGCCGCCCTAGGCAACACAAAGATCGTCTGCCCCACGATCATGAACCAACACCACCACCCCTTCCCCCTCCCACGGAGAGAGCCTGACATCATTTGACCAACAACACCCCTGCCCCCCACCTGGGAAAGCTTTCCACTAACCCCAACCAGCGATAGAGAGAAAGACATCATCTTCACAGCTCCGGACATCCCTGGGAACAAAAGTCAGGCTCTACATACACCATCAAGCAGCCCGCAGCTTCTCTCGGATTCCACCTGGTTCCTATGGCACGCGTGTCCCTTCTCCCATCCCTTCTTCTGGGGGGAGGTGCTGCCCCCCTGAAAAATGCCACCCTAGGCAAGTGCCTTGTTTGCCTTGTGGTAAATACGCCCCTGGCCCCAACAATGGTATCAGTGAGAAGAACAGTGTCCCATCAAAGGTGTCAGTGAGAAGAATAGTGTCCCATCGATGGTGTCAGTGAGAGGAATAGTGCTCCATTGATGGTGTCAGTGGAGGAATAGTGCCCCATTGATGGTTTCAGTGGAGGAATAGTGTCCCATCGATAGAGTCAGTGGAGGAATAGTGCCCCATCGATGGTGTCAGTGGAGGAATAGTGCCCCATCGATGGTGTCAGTAGAGGAATAGTGCCCCATCAATGGTTTCAGTGGAGGAATAGTGCTCCATTGATGGTGTCAGTGGAGGAATAGTGTCCCATCGATAGTGTCAGTGGAGGAATAGTGCCCCATCGATGGTGTCAGTGGAGGAAGAATTGATGGTGTCAGTAGAGGAATAGTGCCCCATCGATGGTTTCAGTGGAGGAATAGTGTCCCATTGATGGTGTCAGTGAGAGGAATAGTGTCCCATTGATGGTAGCAGTGAGAGGAATAGTGCCCCATCAATGGTGTTAGTGGAGAAATAGTGTCCCTTTGATGGTGTCAGTGTGAAGAAAGGTGCTCATCATTGGGGTCAGTTGAAAGAATAGTTATAAAGACAAACAAATCGCAGTTCGGAAACCACTGCACATCGAGTCAGACATGCGCTGCTAAGTATACAATTTTAGAATGCCTCAATACTAGGATGAATTAACTCATATGCTTAAGTTGTGTTATGCCGAGCAGGCAATAAAGACGGTGCCACACCCAGAGGAGGACAGTGGGAAAATATCAGTGGCAGCAACAAAGCAACAAGGAAGACTTCATCTGTAGTATCACTATGGCAAAGTCCCACCCACCTGCATGAGGACTTTAGTTGTTTTGCTTTGTATTATTTGGTATTTTCATTTTTAACCACGGACACATTTCACTTGTTTTCCAGGTCTGATTTGCTGAAAAAATTGTTTACAGAGCTCAATATCTCAAGTGGAAATGTAGATACAGTAAAGTCAGAGCACTAAAGCAGGCCATAGATGGGTAATTTATTGGCCAAATTTTCATGAAAAATCGGCCAATATTCACTGTTAAGTGGGGCCAGCCCGTTGCTGTTTTTTGCGTATCTCCTCATTTATTTTTATCGGTCATGCTGGAAAATCCACGAAAAATGGACGTTTTTCGTGGACATTGGTGGCAGCATCCTTGGCAACGGGGCTGACCGATTTTTTGTTTATCGGCCGACAATTCGGCCCATAAACGGCCCGTCTATGCCTGCCTAACTCGTCCTCCTTCTTTTTTTTGCAGACAGCTCCATGCAAAAGATTCAGTCAGATACAGAGTATGTGAAAGGAAACAACTGTCTATTTGGAAAGCCCAATGTATTCTGGGATCCATAGATTACTATCTAATCCAATCATCATAGCAACTTTTAACCTAGGAGGGTGGCCACCACACTAAAACTGGGTACACATGGATCGAAATTCGATCTGTTTAGCAGAAACCAGCCAAATTTTGTGTGTGTGTGGCCCTCCCTGTTCAACAGAAACCAACCATTAGATCAGCTTCTGTCAAACGAACCTTCTCTTTTCGATCAGTGGATTGCAGGCAATCAGCTGCAGCTCTGATCAGCGTATTCTGACAGTGGAGAGTCCCCGCTGTCAGAATAAAATATCCTGGTGAGCGGTTTTCTTGCATCCACCTCAAAAGTGTTCATACAGTAATCTGGCTGGATGAAAAAAATGAGTCGTGTGCAGGGGTGGACTGACAACTCATGGGGCCCCCAGGCAATAGGGGATCATGGGGCCCCTGTGTCCTTGCCCAAACTCAAAAAAGCCTATGAAAAAAAAGTCACAGGGGCATCTCATGGGGCACCCTACTGACCCCGGGCCCTCGGGCAGTGCCCGAGAATGGTCAGTCCGCCCCTGGTCGTGTGTAGCAGCTTTATATTTGACCTCTGTAACAGCTATACATTTTTATGGAAATAAATTATTTGCAATTGATACTCGTAGTGTAACCATGTTTAAGTATATCATTTGTGGTTCTCTGTACAAACCTATACATGTCTTGAAACTAACAATTATAACAAAGAAGAATATCTGATGATCCTGCCATGCAGGACTTTGTTTAGGCACATCCTATAATGAAGTGACCACTGTCTCCCAATATTACTCTTATATTGGGTCCCATTCACTAAGAGATAAATACTGCATACATTTTTGAGTTAAAATAACTCGTGGTATTTCTCTCAAAAGTAGTCAATTCACTAAAAAAAAGTGTTATTTCCCAAATGCATATTTATGTTTTGCAATATTTATTTCTAAAATCTTGCACTATTTTTGGCGGGTTTTTTATTTT